TTGAAATTTTTTTTTATTTTAATATTATTTTTTTATTATTTAAAAAAAAATTTGTCCCTCCTCTCTGCTTGTTAACTGGTCAGGTAGGGGGGCTATCTTAATCCCTGGTGGTCCAGTGGCATGGGCTGTGAAGTGGGGGGCCCGGAAGGAAGCATTTACTTACCTTTCCTGCAGCTCCTGTCAGCTCCCTTCTCCTCCGTTCCAGTCAGCTCCACTGTAAGTCTCGCGGTCTGGTTGCCGCGCGGATCGATGCCATGGCACAGACAGTGACTCGAGTATAAGTCGAGTGGGGGTTTTTAAGCACAAAAAAGGTGCTGAAAAACTAGACTTATACTCGAGTATATACTGTAATCAATACATAAACACATTGGTCACAATCTAGCTCTTCCCTGCAATACCCAAAATATTTATCTTTAAGACTATTCCACATAACAAGATTGTTATGAAGAACCCTACACTGGTGTCTGGAACCTGTAACTTCTTGAAACTCGCACTAGGTGGCACCAAGATTCATATTTTTTTACATATAAATTGTGTTCCAATCGTTTGGTATTTTTATGTGAAATGCATTTTAGATAGATGATTTTATAATAATTCTTATTATCTCCTATATTTATTAATAACATTTGTGATATTAAATAACCCCGTTAATAACTGTCATAAAACAGTGACTGTTCTTCGATGTATAAGTTTGCATTTGTCATATTGAAAATGCTTTATGCATGCAGTCTACAACAAGGGCTGTCAAAAAAAAAAAAAAACCATACAACTTACATTTTCTACATTCCAACTGCACTATAAAATCATTAGAAAAAAAAATATATCAATGAACCATTTTTAAATAAAGCTAAATTATCTGGTAAATCATTCACTGCCAAAATAGTGTGTACAATTTTTTTTTAACTTTTATTTGCTTTCCAAAAAATAAATAAAAATTAGTTCATGAAGCCTCCCTTATCTACTTTCATACAAGAATTATTATCAGCATTTACATGCATGGAACATATTCCATTTTAAATAACTTAGGACTTGATTTGATATTGTTGGATACGTTTTTCAAAGTATTCAATATTTTTGGATACACTTTTTATATTTTTATTTTCAAAATGATTTATTATTTATTTATAAAATATTTTACCAGGAAAGATACATTGAGATTGCTCTCGTTTTCAAGTATGTCCTGGATTCACAAAACATTGTAATGTTACAATAGGGTACAATAAAATACAAAAACATTATTAATACACAATATATTCAAAATGTAACATAGAATACCTTGCATTACATTCATTGCATTAGAGAGATTGTTAAAACACTTTTTAAATAAATTTATTTTAGAAATGTATGATTTAACTGTACCTACTGTATGTGGGCATTATGCATATATAATTTTAAATTTACTTTTCCTTCCTCTAGCGCATCCGTGGCAGTCTTCACCGTCTACACCCCATTTTTATACACCTTATGTACCTGCACTTCAAGCAGCTCCGGTAACTTGCGTTGTGCTGCACCAATCATCTACCCTAACTGGACATTGTAAAACATTACATTACTATTCTAAAAACACCAATAGAACCTTACATGTATTTAAATCGAAACTGCCCCAAAATTGGTTAAAACTTACCTTTTGTACTCCCTCCTCTTGCAATCCTGCATAAGATGCTCATATGGGCTTTTATCCCATGGAATGTCTTTAGCCCATGGAAATATATGTCTTGCAGATTTCCCTGTACCAATTGGCACTGCATTCACATGACAAAATCTGGATATTGTTCATTGTATTTAACAATATATTTGCAATTCAGAAACCAAATGGGCCTGAATTTGGACTGGATTCTAGCCTGACTAAATACTGACGGATTACCAAAATCCGGACCTGAATTCTTAATTTTGATCTGGACTGAATTACAAAGAAAATACTATTTGACCACTGGCAGTGCTAGCAGCCAGCAAGAAAATAGTTAAATAACCCTTGGCAGTGTGAGGGTTAATTATGTGATTGGGTTTTGGTGGCAATGAAATTTTTGGTACATGTTCATGTGATTAAGAGGGGTTATGAGGATGGGGTGAAGGATTTATGGGTATGAGAAGAAGGTTGTGGAGTAAGGGGTGATTAGGGGGATGAGGGGACTGAGATGAGAGTTTATAGGATGGGAATGAAGTAGGAATTTTAAGTGGATTATGATTATGGGGTAATATGATTGGGCTAGTGAGTGGAGCAAGAATTAAGTGAAATAATGAGAATGGGCAGGGTTTGGGCATTAAGGGGGCATAGGTAATGTAAATAGCATTAAATGATATGTGGGTAATGTGGTTATTATTATGATAAGGTGATGTGATAGTTCATATGTATTTAGTATTACTGTTAGGAGGGGATTTGTGGGATGGGGTAATGTTTGGTTGAGGAGTATGTGCATTGGTAGTTTTTAGTATATTAGTGGGATGGAGTTATCTAATTATAAGTATC